TCCAGATTCAAGAAAATGAACCAACTCTCTTGGTCTGGTTCAAACTTACAACATGAGCACACGGAGTGAGCCACGGAGTGAATCCAAGGCTATGAATGAAGAATCCTCAAAATCGCTTTCAACCGTATATCACAATGTACAAACTCCAAACAAGTGTCACAAAGTTTTCAAAACACTATTGAGGAATATAATTTCTGATAAAGATAATAATAATAATAATAATAATAATAAGATTTTTAACCAAGAGGATCCCGAATATTCCCTTCGACCGTAGCAGCCACTAGAACAAAGGACGTTGAATTGTTATCCTAAAGTCCTGAAGATAATATTGAGGTATATATTTTCTGATAAAGATAATAATGATAAAAATGATAAAAATTTTAACCAAGAGGTTCCAAATTTAATCTTCGACCGTAGCAACCACTAGAACAGAGGACGTTGAATTGTTAGATTCAATAAAATGAAATAGCTAACAGTTATCCAAGCTGTGATATGATTCAAACACACGAAATGAACACTACTAAAAAAACTAAAGTTATGAAAAGAAGTCCGGGCGAGCAAAACCAATCTAACCGTGTATCAAGAATCCTAAACTAAAACTAATGGTAAAATCTAAAGTAATAATAATAAGATTAATAACCATACACGTCCTGGAATACTCCTTCAACGATATCGGTGACTAGAAGAAGGGTAGTTGGAGGGAGGAGGGCGTCTTTGAGAAAAGGAAGCTTGATGATTTGTAGCATGATTTCCTAGCATATTTTCTTCTTCATCAGAATCTACATAAGCATTATAATCAATCGCACCCCTTCCATATCTTTGATTTCCAGAAGCCTCTTCCCGATATCTTGATTGAAGTGATGATTGAAGATTTCGAGTGGTGGTCTGAGGCTGTCTTCTTGAAGGAGTTTGATCAACGTGATGGTGATGAGTAGGACGATAACCATTCTCAAATAGAACCGCATCACGACGTCGAGGAGGAGGAGGGTGACCAGTTTCCAACAAGACTCCATCACGTCTTCGGGATCGTCGACAGAAGGATTGATCAGACTCCATGGAAGTGGATTGAGAAGTGACAGGTACAGTATAATAAGCAATATTCTGATGAGCAGTAGCGGAAGGAGAAGCATAGTAATCATCATAGAAAGCATTCTGACGAGGACGGTTAGCTTGAGATGGTTGTAATGGAGAACGAGATACCTCTAAATCTTCTTCGTTGTATGCAAGACCACGGCAGGCGAAGGACTCCGCCGAGTTAGAAGAGCGAGGTTGATGAGAGCGCCATTGAGAAGGAGGGTGTTCGTAGAGACCGCGACAAGCGAAAGAAGAATCAGAGTCTCTAGAAGGGGAAGGACGATCACGACGGAAGAAATTGAAACGGTTGTGACTACTCATAGTGGTATAGACAGAGAATCAAGTGAAAATGGATATGGAAAGGGGATGTGTGGAAATGGGTTGGTCGAGTGTGATGGAAGACGTGGTTGAGGTTGGAAAGAGGTCACTCTTGGTTTCAAGGTCGAACCAAATTTTGTACAGAGAAGACCAGATCAGCACTTCCTCTGTACAGAGAAGCTGATCAAGGTTACATTTCGATTGTACGTCTTAAAATGCGTATAGGCGTATACATCTGCTTTAAAGGAGACGCGTATAACAATCTTTAATGCTCAACATTATTCAGTAACATGCCGCGGGAAGTTTTGTATTATTGACTTTGTACTGATTTTTCATAGTCTATTTGATCGAATACGCGACAAAAAGTAAACAAATGCCTCTGAGCTTTATGCTCTAGCTGATGGTTACATCTCGTCGATAGAGAGAAATCTTCAGTAGAGAAATGCTCAGATGTTCTCAAGACATTATTTTGATTGTTTACAGACTTCCTTGTTGGATCACCCTCATCCGCTCCCCCAGGAATCTTTGCGGACACTGCTTCGCTGGGATACATCAACAAATTTCAGCCGATATTAGTCAAGATCTCAGTGCTCAGTCATCTATGTGACACGTTTTCAAGAACACGCGTTTTTCTGCAGATATCTAGTGGAGTCTGAAAACTTTATTCTTCATTTCATCTTTTCGATAATCGTGAAGAAGTTCTTCTTCCAATGTTATTTACTCGCTTGTCACTCTTATTTTACCTCTATGATCATTTCTTGCCCAAGGAAGCCATACTCTTGGGATATATACAAGTGTCATGGGATTTTACAGTTCAGCGAGATGATCTTCTTCTCCAAAAAAAGGGTTCTTCCGGGGGATACAATCTGATAGCATTATCCAAAATGCATGGCCAAATGCAATACACCAAAAGGAAAGTTTAAATTCCTTCTGTTTGGTGTTTGTTTTGGTAAGATGCCACGGACACTTTACTTTGTCTCTTCGTATTGCATTTTTTATCCTGGTTTGATCAATACACGGCAAAAAGTAGACAGACACTTTTAATCCTTCCAAAATTTATTTCTCTACTGTTCGCCGGGTTGCGCTAGAAAACAATATCTGCAGCATAATGTTCGGATCTCGTTGAATTTGGTTTTTCGCCACGGATTTGTTTGATCACCTTCATCAGTCTGTTGAATTTTTGAGGAGACGAGACGACACGCCGACGTTGTAAACTCGCGCGGTAATCCAACCTTTATCTTTATGTGGTACCCAAAAATACGCATTTTGTTATGATCTGTGTTGAGGCCTAAACATTTTCGTCTTTCATCTCAACTTTCTCCGGAGGATCATTATATTTTTCAAAAATATTCATGTGATGACGATTTGGCACGGTATTGTTCGCCTTCATGACGATTTTCTCCAGATATCTTTATGAGGCGTCAAATGCATCAAGTTTATCTCGTTTCGGGCTACTTCAAAGTAGCCTTGTTGAAGATTCATATATCCCTCTCTGAATCCTCGGAAAGATGCGAAGACAGGTACCTCGTGTCTTTTTGAGGCTTTCACGCGGTTTCTATCCGATCACCTGTTACAAAAACAGTATTTCTACGAGGTAACCTAGTGCTGTGATCTTTATCTCTTTTGTCTGTGTGGAAGCAGACAGCTGAATCGATTTTCAGATCTATTGAACGACTTCGGTATGCCATATGGATCTTCAGTTTATCGCGCGCAATAGAAGGGAAGCAAACAAATCTCTAATTCATCTTGGACCTGTATCAACCATCTGATCATTCAAGTCAAGCGTGTTCCAGACAAGCACCTGCACCTGCTAGCCTTGGCCTTGATGGTTTCATGGCGATGAGAGGAACACCTCTGAGTGACATTGCTTGCTATATTCAAAGATCGGACTTGATTCGACAATCCACCTCACAGACCCCAGCATCCACCATCTGTATATCATCACAATATCACTTCGGCAGAAAGCACACCCAGCTGCTGGCACGAGGTGAAGGTCGTGTCACCAGCCTGTGTTTGCGACTGTTCGTTTTTCCTCTCAAGTAGGCAGATCTATAATTCATGAGATCCGCATTCTTCATCAGAAGATTCTCGCTCTCAGACGGCGTCTCAATAAAACTCGATTTCAGTCACCTCTGCTCTGCGATCACTCGACGCATACGAAGAATCGAGAGGTCGCAAAACGACGCAGATCTATGACCCATGTTCTTTGTTGAGCATCAAGGCCTTCTCACCTACAACCTTGAGCTTATGGCCTGTTTGATTCTTATCGACACTCGGCATTGTTACGATCTTGGTCTTTTACTTTACGGATCTGAATCTTGTTTGTCCCTGGCGAGTTCTGAATCAAGCTAGAAGCAAATCATATTTGGACCAAGATACGCGCTGATCTCAGAGCTCAGAAAGTGAATGTTGATCAGTTTGACCTCCTGACCCAACAAATCACTTCTTTTCATGTCGATCAAATGTCCAACATTCATGTTCAGCGCGATGCCTTGCAAATGTATTGAAGACTATGTCTTTGGTAAACCGAGGGTCCGACTTGGTCGTTCCCCAAAGAGGACGTTTCGAATCCGATCCTATGTGGTTCAACTTCAACCGTTCATTGGAATTTTCGCAATTCGTCTTAAAGTACGTAAACGACCTTTGTTTTCTGATGCCACATCTATCTAAACAGCTGCGACACATCGTGCATTTCTGATTCGTGTTCCTTTGCATCTGATAGGATACAAGCAATACTTGTGTCTACAGATTGATCGGTTGCACATCTTTGATCTTTAATCATATGGCAACGCATCGGATACTGTTACTACGTAGTGGGTCGTTGTTATAGATGATATGAATGGTGCACCAAGCTTAGAAAGGAGGCAGAGTAGAACTTGAAAGGAAACGATTCGACTTCTTCGGCTTCCAGAATCAGATAATTATGAAGCCCCGGGTTGATTTTTTATTTTCGAACCAGAAGTACCGATCAGACCGACCCGATGATATCGACAGTTAGGTGAGTGTTTGCCAATAAAATCCTCATTTCTCATATTTTCAATGCTTTACATCACGATATAAAAAGTCTCAAAGGATAGTTGAGTTTTTGTTTGTTTTGAGGGGATTTGGGCTTGAACTGATTTTTTGGGATTGGCAATTTATAGTTTTAGTGAATAGGTTCTTTTTAGTTGGTTTTTTTTAAAGTGCATTGGGCATTTAATGCATAAAACCTCGTGAAAATGCTTCGTGGGATCGAGCACAACTACAAGGACATATGTACCTCAAGGACAAAACTAAGATGGAATATATGCAAAGATGTGAACATGAGGGGGTAAAACAAATTGTGGTACATATCATAGCAGATAAGCGTCTATTCAAGATGTTTTTACCATCAAACAAACGGAGATCCCAATCCTTAAATTTTCGATTCAGCTCATGTGTTTCATTACCGCTCATTATAATTTATTAGACTATTAGTTTGTGTTTCGCAATATTTTGAAGTCCTAGGAAAGTCTAGTGTCACGGTCAAGTTTAGAATTCTCGAGTCGCCTGACGGGTTGATCGACTTTTTTGTTCTGCCAGTTTTGACGAATCAGACCGCTTGACCACAACACTTCGGAACAAGGACAATGACGCGCAGTTATCTTTCATTTTACCTGATTTTATTGCTACTTCCTTTACTTTACTCCTGTCGCCTTAATCTTCCTCTATTACATGGTTACAAGAAACTTGATCCAACAGAGGAAGAAGATCCCAGGACCCTCCTTTTAGCAGATCACTTGACAGATTTCCAAGCGGGAAAACACAATTCAAATCGCGAAAATGCCAAGTCTCTCTTTCAGACCACAAAAGTAGCACTTACACACTTGTTCGTGACCAAAACTCAAACTCCTGATGGCCAATCTATGATCAGCTGGAAATTGTGGTATGATAACTCTCATAAAGTTTCTGAATCATCGGCGTCTGCTGGGGTACAGGAAATGGCCGAGGCTGTCCTGAAATTCGGCCCTCAATTCGATCGACATCAACACAATCCCGAACGCGAGATGGAGTATATAATGTCTACAATCGATCTTTTCTCTCGTTCTCTTGAGGATGATAAACTGAGTGCTGCTGAGAGGATTTGGTCTGTTGGGGTACTCTCATACCTAAGAGCTCGACTTCCGGAGGAAAAAAAATCCGTGATTCCTAGTCTCTGGACAGCTGAAGACTTGCGTAGGCCTCGAGAACAGTTCTTATTGTTTTTTCTGGGTGGTCAGTGATTCAAACTTTGGTTATGACGACGTCTCAAAAACTTAGGCCTAGAAATGTTGTGCATTTGTATGACCTTGATCAGATAAAGATTTGAGGCCAGTGGCTCGGCAGATGTGGTCAGAATTTCCTACGGAAGTGGAGTCATCGGAACGTGGTGAGTAAGATGTATCTTGGTTTTATGTGGTTTCTGATCACCTTTTATCACCCTCAGTCATTCAGGAGGCAATTCAAAGGGGGTCAATAGTACATCTTGTCAAAAAACAGACAGACATGATCCACAATGAACCACCACCGGATTTCCAAGAACTCTTTCTCGCGTTCATCAACTTGAAAACTCCGATAAAATCACAAAAAGCCTTGTCGTTAATTGACTTGATCAAAAAACAATTGAATGAACCTCAAACAAAAAACTGGAATCGGCTTGATGAAGAGTCAAACACAGTTCGATTGTTTTTACATCTTGAGGAATATCATTATGAAATTGAGAGCTGTCTAGGATTGGAAAAACTGATCAGAATACCAAATATTCGGGAACAAATACTGAAAAACGCGATAAGCTTGCAACTTGCGACTGAGAAACTGCATCCAGTCTTCAGGAATCTTTTGATAGGATTTGAAAAGACAAAATTGGTCGATAGTCATCGTGTCACCAAGGTCTTGGAACTCTTAAAACAAGAACAAATCCCGATCACTCAACTAGGAAGATTATTTAGAGTAATCAACTTGGTCCTCCATGGTAATAAAAAGATATATAAGTCTTTCATTCTTCAACTGGATGAACACTCTGAAATGATTCCAAAACTCTTCGAGATATTATTTAAGTATCGCTATGTTCGAATGAACCCACAGATGTTACCATGGCAAGATCGGTACGATTTTATCTTTACGACACGTAAGTCAATGTAGATAATGACTTTCTGATTACCAGTCACTCATCACCATTTGTTTTGCAATTGATTAAAGGGGAAGAGCAAACAGCAGAGAAGTATAGAAACGATCTCGGAAAACTCTTAATAACTAAAGGTGTCTTTACAAGTCATGAGATTATCAGAGATATTGAATATTTAAATGAACCGTCGAAAAAAACTATGGTGACTGCTACTTTATATGGGATTTTTAAGAAGATATCAAGATCCAGACGAATTACCAGAAAGGAGCACACAAACACAGATTGGTTGACAGCAGAATACATCCTTCACCTGATCTCGTTCAAGAATAATGATAAGATTCTATATCGCCATCTTCGCCACGATCAACACGTCCCAGAGAAGGTTCCGGAGGCTTACACTCTGTTCTTCAAAGAAATCGGTGATGAAATATTCCGATTCATCGATAATGCATTTGGGGACGATGATGGGAATTTCGATACGTTTGCAAAGGCTCTGAAAGAACTTGAAAATTCTTTCTTCTTTATGATATGGAAGACTGATCGTAGCCGTTATGAGAATGGTGTGCTGAAAATCTGAATATATCTTATCTCTCGTGATCATCTCATTTCTAAGCTTTGTGAGGTTTCCTACACTAGACCTAATATATAAAACCCTCAGCGTCGAAAATGATATCGTGCTTGCTTGGTTAGTAGGCCTGAGCTTTTACATGCAGTGACAAGAATAGGAGAAGAGAGAGGAAGAGAGCTGTTGTGACTTAGCTTAACAAAGCCGCAGAGAGGGCTTTGTTAAGCTAAGTTGTGACCTCGCCACGACGAACGATGAGAAAGCCATCGTTGGCGATGCTTACCCCGCATGAATGTGTTCTTTACCATTCTGTTGACCATCCTTATCCTGAGAGGACGTCATTTCCCTCCTCTACCATCACCATTATCTATAAACTTCTGTTCCCTCAAACCTCTGTTCCCTCAAACCTCTTCCTTTTTATCACTCTAGATTCAAGATGTGAAAATCGAAGCGCTTCGGCGATTCTGACAATGTTTTAGACATATTAAGCTTCCTACTCCGATTCTGTGCGTCTTGTCGCCCTCAAACAAAATTTAGGTTGAAAATACGATGAAACACCAAAAGACAACGTGAGAAAGGGTGAGTACATAGATCAATCCATTGTTCAGTCAAACATGCTACAATCACCGGTGGCTACAATATAGCTAAACATACATCCGTGTCAGAAGACATGGAGCTGAGTAGCGTTACAAGTCAGCGAAACTGCTTCGTTGAATCGATATCCATAGCTGTTAGCTACACAAGAGTAAAGCCGAGGTGACGAAGATAAATGCAAGTCAGTGAAATATGTTAATACGATGTGAGGATGATGAAGTAGATAGCAGAGCAGATCAACATCTATCCGAGTCGATTCTACACGGCCATTCAACTTGGAAGTGTTCTTACAATCAGATCCATCTTCTCATCTGTCCGGAAGGCAGAAGATCTCTTCCGCCTGTTTTCCCTTTATAGCGGCGTCCATACTCTTATCCATGAGAGCAAGGGTAGATTATGGGGGAGGACTTTGAGTTATTCTTTAATAAACCTTTATGTGGTTTATATTCTACTTTACGAAATCTATTCCCAAGCATGTCCTACCATTTTGCCTTCCAGCCTTTCCTGAGACTGGACAGCATCGTGGTGTGGGGGTAGTCCCGGGGTAGGGGGCATATAGTATGGGGAATAGACCCCTACTTAGTAGCTCCTACCCCAGGACGAGAACAGGCCTGAGAAGAGGACTTCTCAACCCCCCGGGTGGTGGGTGGGTTTTTAAGAATTTTAAGAATAGCCAAAGATTGATCTTGCGAGAATGACAGGTATAGGCAGCGGGGGGGATATTCAGGAAGTGATAGAGAGAAGAAATTTTTCCTTTTCTCTAAACTTCCAAATTCGTGTGTGGTGACCATGACACCTGGTACCACCCATGACATCCCCGCTTCACCTGTCACTTCCCTCATTCCTGAGTATGGAAATCATGGTACCGTCGCAGGCTAGGAACAATACCCATTTCATATCGCTCATGATTCGTTTGTGTTTCGTAAAACATGTTGAAGTCTGAGAAAGGGTTAGTGCTGCCGTGTAGTCTATTTTTTGTCCAATCCGTGGTAAGTATATATACTATACTTACTAATCAGACCACCTAACCACAACATCTCAGATCAAGGACAAAATGTCATACCAATGTTTCCTTTCATTCTACGTCATTTTATTGATAATTCCTTCATTTTACACCTCACTATTGAAGGTTCCTCTGTTGCACGGTTATGAGAGAATCGAAAAAGTCAAACCGGGAGATTCCGATACATTCCTGTTAACAGATGCCTCGACAGGTCTCCAAGCGGGAACAGAGAAGTCGAATCGCGGTATCTTCAAGTCTATATTTCAGGCCGGCAAAGGAGGACTCAAGCCCTTTTTCGTGACCCAACCTAGAACTCCCGATGGCGAATTTCTAATCAGCTGGGAAGTCTGCTATGAAATCTCTCATAAAGCTTTTGCATCGTCTCCGCCTTCTAGGACACAAGAAATGGCCGAGGCTGTCCTGAAATTCGGCCCTCAATTCGATCGACATCAAGACGATCCCGAAGTCGAAATGGAGCATATCATGTCTACAATCGATCTTTTCTCTCGTTCTCTTGAGGAAGATAAACTAAGTGCAGCTGAGAGGATCTGGGCTGTTGGGGTACTTTCATACCTAAGATCTCGAATTTCGGAGGAAAACAAAACCGTGATCCCTAGTCTGTGGACAGCAGATGACTTGCGTAGACCTCGGGCAGGCAGAGTTGCTATTGTTTCTCCTGCAAGGTCAAACCTACAAAATCTGGATATGTACAATGATCTCTTGATTAAGAACTGAAGCCTTTGTCATTCTTGAATGTGTATCTCATTGATCAGAAAAACAAAACATGGGATACGCGGCCCGGCAGATGTGGTCAGACTTCCCTAAGGAAGTAGAAACATCCGATCGTGGTGAGCAGAGTAGCAGTATCTTGTATATGTGTAGTTTCTAATCATTTTTGCCAACCTCAGTCATTCAGGAGATAATTCAAAGGGAATCGGTAGTACATCTTATCAGCAATTTGGGAGACTTGGGCCATGATGACCCATCAATACATTTTCAAAAGGTTTATCTCGCTTTCATCAACTTGAAAACTCCCATAAATCGGAAGACAGCCTCATCATTGATGGGATTGATGAGATTGATCGGAGAACAACTGAAGTCCTCCAAAACACCAACTAAGAAAGAGTCAAATACAATTCGAATGTTATTACATCTTGTGGAATACCATTATGAGAGCTCTAGTGAATTTACAAAGTTAACCCGAATACCAGACATTAGAGGCAGAATACTTGAAAATGCGATACGATTCCAACTTGAAGATAAACAACTAGATCCATTCGTCCGGGATCTTTTGCTAGACTTTCAAAACAAAAAATTCGTTGATAGCGATCGTACCAGCGAGATCTTGCATCTCATAAAAGAAGACCGAATTTCAATTCCTCAACTAGGAAGATTATGGAGAGTGATTACCTTGGTCCACAGGAGTGATAGGGAAATGTATCCGGATCATGCTATTTTTTTCAGCCAACACTCTGAAATGATTCCCAAACTTCACGAGATGGTGTGGAAGTTTCGTTATGGTCGAATGAACCCCGAGAAGTTTTGGGATTATGAGATAGAGCCATTTGTCTTTGGTAAATGTAAGTCAATGTCAACGATCACTTTCTGATTATCAATCACTCATCACCATTTGTTTTGAAATTGATTGAAGGGGACAAGAGAGCAGCACAAAAGTATAGAACTCGTCTCGCCAAAAGGTTGATCTCCAAAGGTCTTCTTACAGGTCGTGAGACTATCAGAGATACCGAATGTTTAACTGAAGGGATCAAGAAAAGGGTGTTGACTACTACGTTATATGGGATTGTCAAGAAGGTATCAGATGACAAAGCAGTGACCCGAACGAAGAACAAGTACACAGATTACTTGATAGCAGAATATATCCTTCATCTTATTTCATTCAAAAATGATGATAAGATACTATATAACCATCTTTTCTTCGATCAGCACGTCCTAGGGAAAACTTCAAAGGATTACACTCCGTTCTTCAAAAAACTTAGTCAGAAAGTGTTTGAATTTATCGATTCTCCTGTTTGGCACGATGATGGCCAACCCGAGACGTTTGCAAAGGCTCTTAAACAACTTGAAACTTCTATCCCCAGTGTGACATTCGCCGCTGAGCGTGGCAAATATCAGGATGCTAGTCTACCAATCTGAATGCGAGATGTCTTTTGTAACCATCTCTTTTCTATGCTACAATGTTAGGGTTTACTGGATGACCTAACAGGTTTGCTTGATTCATATATGTACATAGAATACTTTCTTTTATTTTATTGTTTAAAAGCTACCAACTCAAAGAACCAATGTTACCCCCTTATTGCATATAACTTTGATTCTCCATCCTGGATATTTGGCCATCAAAGTGCCTGTCATAAAACTCAAAAAGCCTTCCCATGCATTATTCTGCGATTCCGCTTTGAAGAGTCAATATTTCAACCTTGGTGGTCCGATACACTCAAAAATGGTAAATCAATGGCAATGAATCTGACACGAGTGTGTAAAAACCAAAACAGAATACAATCCAATTCATCTTCAGTTGCATCAAGCTAGGCTCTGATCACCATGACTAATGGTCAAGCTGACACAAGTTCCTGAGCCAAGAAAATTTTACTGGACAGCTCCAAGGTTTGAGTAAAGAACTTGAGCTATTGTTTTTGCCGTTGCAGGTAGAATTTTTGGCCAAAAGCAACATAAACATTGTCTGGACCCATCAATACCAATTCATCCTGTGCCAACAGGGAATTTTTTTTCCATGCAGCCCTTGGGATATATCTGCCTTCCTGAGCTGTCTACTTGGAGTTTTCATCTTACCCTGGAAGGCATAGCCATCCCAACTCAACAACAAGAAGTCAATTGGTGAGTTCTGACCTCTCCACCTTTGATACACAGCTGTATACCTGACCTCAAATACAACAAGAAATACTGAGTCAACCAAGATTTGTATTGTTCTCATGAACAATCAGATCATAGTATGCTAGGTCCCTTGAATTGAAGTATGATGAATACATTACTATTCGGGGTTATCTAATCTAGGATGTATTCCTTCTCTTATATCTTACTCATCTGATATCTATGATATTGTAGTCTTACTAATCTTATGGTATCATTGCTGCGTGTGCTGTGCTTTGCTGTGACCGCTCTAGTGTTCTCATTGGTATAAATTGGTGTTGTCTTTGGCCTACTTGTTTTCCTTTCTCTTCACCAATTTCTACCTTCACTTCAAGCAGGTATTGTCTTACTGCTCTCATTGGTCACAGAGATTTTAATCTCTTTAGCTGCTAAAACTAGCATCCTTATCAGGTGATTATCTTCTACATTTTTTGTGTTACTTGTGTGCTCTAATATATATTCTTACCATTTTCTACCTTCAATTGGAGCAGGTATTGTCTTACTGCTCTCATTGGTCACAGAGATTGTAATCTCTTCAGCTGCTAACACTAGCATTCTTATCAGTTTCATAGCCAACTCACAATTCCTTAGAACAGCTTGAATCCCGCTGATCCTATCTGAATATCTCAAGTTGGAAGGAGAGTCATGTTGAGACATATGCTTTTTTGAACAGGCCCGCCAAGGCGCAAAAAACCTTCATTGGAGGCGCGCGGACTGCACATTGGGGAGTCAGGCGCGCCATTTGCGCACAAAAAGTAAAGAAACATCAAAAAAATCTTCTATAGCAACAGAGGCCAGTAATAGAGTGCCATTGGATGGGTGGTTGCCATTACAAAATTCTGAAGGCCGTGGACTATAACTTTTTACACATGGAAAGCTTACAGCAACCAGCTTACGTATACTGGACAAGACTTTGTCCAGTGAAAACAGCTTGGAACAAGGAAGAATGTTGGAACAATATCTCAATATTCATTGTTTGATGATGAATTACGCTCCTCAAATTCCTGTCCAGTCATCTACATATATTGTAGAAAAAAATCTAAAAAAGGTTGATCAGTATGAACTAGATGAAAAGGCATTGACCAATGGAAAACATTGAGGTCAAAAAACACACCATGATGTTGCAATCATGAAGCTTTGCCACTAGCATGAAATAACTCAAAACCTGAATTCCAATATGTTGATGGGAATAAAGATTGAAAAATATAAGGTCTGAGGATACCTCCTTTTCATGTGTTGGTTCATTGAATTCGTGATGAGGATGGTCACCATTTTCAAATAATATAAGATTGTGTCCTTGAGTGCTTGAGAAGGAGTGATCGGTTTTGGCCAGTCAAAACTGACAAAATGGGCATTTTTCCTCAAATCCTCTCCATGCCAAAATGCCATATGATTAGAGAAGTTCTTACCTTCCTACTTATCATCACAAAGAGACATGATCCTTATAACAGATGAAATATATTTGTGGAGAGGCAGAGGTGAAGTTATCTCAAATTAGGTGAACTATATCTCCTTGTGGGCTTATCCATGCTAGGTTTGTGTGGCGGTGATCATAAAGCTTTAGTATGAAGTAAATTGGGCTGTTCGATAGCTTAATTCAAGCATAGATTAGAAAGTAAGAAGTTTGAGGATTTCGTATCTTGGTGTGGAAAAACTTTGCAAATGAAACCACAACACTTCGCCCCAATTGAGATTGGTAATCTCAGCGCGTTCTTTTATCATGCGCATATGGTTTCTTTGATCACATCATGTTCTGGTTATGTAAGATTGTTAGTGACGTCATAATATTAAAGTTCTATAAGAGTCATTCAGAGATCACTATTGTAATTCTTTTTCTCTTATCAAACTTATATTATTTTTCTTTTAACAATCTTCTCTTACGTTCAGATTGTTCCTTCTCTCGATCAGTGTGCAGCTTGTTTACAAAGCTGACACCTTGAACAATCTCAGCATTAGCTCATCGTTCAATTGGTTATGAGCCCAGCTCTCTAGCTGTATTCAAAAACCTTCATCATCACATCTCGCTAAACACTACGAAGCTTAAATTTTTTTTTTGCTATTCCACATCAAATTCTGATCGATTTGAGATTTCACCACACACACTCACACGCACACTTCTTCACCTAATTCATTCATCTATAATGTCTTCTGAAGCTCGCTTACGGATCGTCAAACTTGACGACAACAATTACCCCGAATGGAAGGGTGATATCACTGGAGCTCTAATGTCGGCCTCACTTGATGAGTTCATTGACTCGGATGCAGAAGTTATTCCTGCACCAGAAGGACCGATTTCACAAGAGCGAAAAGTTCCTTATGACGTTTATGTCATGCGACAACGCAAAGCCGCAGGTACTATGTTCAGTCATATGACTCAACAATTCTGTATCATCGTGGAATCAGAAGGCTTTATCTATCAGCCATTGAAAATCTGGTTACTCATGAAAGAAGAGTTTCAAGCCACAACCTCTAGTAGTAAGGGTAGAGCTTATTCAGCCTTCACTCGTATTATTTTCACTTCTCTTGATCAATATATCAAGGACACTCGATCAGCTTTGGCAACTATGAGAGCTTGCGGTGTAAACTTCTCTGATGATCTCCAAGAGTTAATAGGCGAAACTATCGTTGGAAAACTCCCAAACTCCATGGAGACAACCTTATCTCTCTTTGATTCTAAACAACCTTTAAAAACGAAAGTCGTATTAGATGTCTTAGATGCTTACCTCGTCGACTATACTGAACGTCATCGACAGGACAATTCTATCGCGTTAGCCACCATTGCTAATCGACCACCTCGACCAGCACATCGTTTTCCTTATCCTACCTGCTCAAACGGACGTCATAATCCAGCTGTCAAAGGTCATAAATATGAACAGTGTTATCAAGTTTTTTCCAGATTTGCTACCGGCTAATCCTGGCCCTTCAAGGAGTCAAGCCACAACAGCTGTCTTGCAGGCTGCGTACTTGGACGACGTCATTGAGACCACAGCTCTATCTTGTCGAGCACCTTCGGCTGACGGTATCATTCTATTGGACAGCGCGTGTTCCGACCACATGGTTTCAAACATCAACTTATTCACTAATTATGTTGAAGTGAAGTCTGACGTTTCCCTTGCTGACGGAAGTGTCATTCATACAGTAGACTCTGAGAAAACCGATAACGGAAAAATTTGGACTAAATCTATTGGTTTTGAAAGAGTATCGGTTTTTTCAATTCTCTGAGAAAACCGATATGAATCAAATTGCAGCAAAAATATTGGTTATGACAGAGAAATATGTGAATCGTATTGTATTATACACAGTTTTTAAGAATTTTTAGAAAAGAAATTTGTGAGGGTTTGCTGCTTGGCAGCTTTGACATGAACTAGGCGGTAATGTCTTACTGAGGCCCTGATGGCGCGTTCAAACCCTTTCACTTCATCATTTCCTTCATAGGCCATATATCCCAACATAATCTCCGAGGCTTTGATGAACTCGTGATGAGTTGGTCGAGGTGGTGGTGGTGTTTCTTCAACTGCAGCCTTCTCTTGCATATCTTCTTGAACACTTTCAAAAATTTCTTCGGGTGTCCATTCTTCTAACCCACTTGAATGCTCGCCAATTGGATTCATGAGCTCGGATAGTGACATTCGATGTAGTTTATGGACAAGATTTAAACTTTCAAGACTGTCCAAGTCAGATCTTAAAGTGTCTCTGGCTTCATCATCGATCATCGGATCCAATTCGAGATCTTGGAGATGGGTATGATTGTCCTCAATCTTGACCGATCCGTCTGGATTTCGAGCAGAAAGAATGCCAGACTTTCTCCAGCAGTTTGAAATTGTGGTGTTGGAGACCCTAAACCAGGCCTCAGAAGCGAGTTTCATAGCATCCAGCTGATGAATCTTGTAAATCTCACCAATTGGGATTTGGAGCTCATAACGATCAATTGCATAGTTGATAAATTCGGATCGATAATAACACTTGAAATTGGCAATGATGCCCGCATCAAGTGGTTGAACGTGAGAGGTAAGGTTTGGGGTGAAGAATTCGAGGCGGATGTTTGTTAAAGGTCTGTCTGGGTTGACAGAGTGACCGGAAAAGTTGTCAACAAGAAGTAAGACATTGCGACCCTTCAACCGAAGCTCTTGATCCCAGGATTCAATCCACTCGCAAAAGATTTCGGTCTGCATCCAAGCTTTCGTGTTGTTCCGATAGTAAAAGCCGAGTTGCTCGCCTGTCTTCCCATTAAAGCATACAGGCCTATGAGCTTTTCCTATGATTAAAGGACGGCGCTTATCGGATCCATAGGCATTGATTGCAAAAGCATATGTCAGACAACGCTTGTCTGACTTGATCCCAGACCTCGCATTAAAAGCTAAGCCCTTATCCGGTGGCATTCTACAGAAGGGTAAACCACATAAACAGATTGAAAAATATTCAAATTATTGTAACACAGACGTACCCATAGAACAGGCCAGTCTCGTCCATGTTATAGATATCGGTGAGATCATAGAGATCCGTTATAGCACGCACACGGGACCTTTCTGCAGCCACAGTATCAGGTGAAGCTGAACCAGCTTCGCCATGACGTTTAACGGAACGTAGACCCGTTCGACTTTTGAAACTTGTCAACCAACCCTCAGAGAGACGAAGTCGGTCTTTGTCTGGTACCTTGAAGAGGTCCGCAAAGCGATTCCACATCGCACGCATCACTGAGCCAGTCAAGATAAGACCTAGGTGTTCAGCCTGTGTCACCCAAGTCTCAAGTGCTTGGGTCACTTGAGGATGCTCAGTGCTAGTTATTCTCTTCGAGTGAAGACCAATCCCAGAATTGTAATTGCTTCGAAACTTGTTCTCATTCTCTTCTTTCAACCATTCCGAAAGTCGAGGCTGTCCAAATCGCAGCTCAGGATACAATTCTTGAAATCTTCGAGCAGTCTTAATTTGCTTGCCCCCATTAGCATGATGCCAATTTATAATCTTGATTCGCTGAGAGAGCGTCGGGTTGACCTTCTTCACGACTTTGGCCTTTTTCTTTTCAACCTTTTTTTTGGTTGATGAGTTTGGCTGTGAAGTCTCCGTATGTTTACGCTTGTCTGAAAACCAAGTCCAAAGGCATTGTTCATTTGAGAAAGCCATCTTCAATTGGTAACGATGAAAATTTTATAGACTCACTGTTCAGTGCTTTTGACATCATTGGACGTGTCTGATCAGCCTTTAGAATTAGCACCTCTAATGCAGCCTTCTCCTCCTTGTTGAGGTCAATGGCAGCACGAGCAACATCCCCAACTTCTCTGATGCGCTCTACCAACTTCCATTCATCAACAAGGTTGGCCAATTGATCCATGAACCGTTCTTCAGCTTCGGTAAGTTTCTTTCCTGAGATCATCAACTCTTTCAAAGGTTTTAAGCGAGTGTCATTCTCGGATTTCAAGGTTTCGAATCCCTTCTCAATGTGAGAGATACTGTATTTAGAAAGGTCCTTGGGAAGCATGATATGTATCAACTTGTGATTATTGTTGAGTGCCGATGGTGGATCAAGGCACGTTAGCTAATAGGATCCCAAGTCGTAGAGTGACAATTGCATAAGTACCTGTTGAGTGCCGATGGTGGATCAAGGCACGTTAGCTAATAGGATCCCAAGTCGTAGAGTGACGAGGGATCTAGCTACTCCGCCATCGGCACTGAGCTAAACACTAACTACTACATGTCACATAGGTGTATCCTAGTGAAAGCCACACACAAGTTCGCACACACATAAGTAGAAAATACATAGACACAACATCAACAATTATGAATGAGAGGTGGAGATTCTGCGATGAAGAAGGTTATGTGTATGTAGTTCAAAGTTTGGACTAAAAAACATACAAGAAAACTAAAACCACAAGTCGTACAACCCCCTGAAATTATCGGTTTCAAACCTGGGATACCAAAAAAAAAGTATCACTTATTGGGTTTGACAAGTTTATCGGTTTTGCAATCAAATTTACTGCAAATAAAAAATATTTGACCCAAAAAGTATCAGGTTTTTGAGAGTATCGCTTTTGACACATATCGCTTTTCTCAGAGTCTACTGTATTGCCGGAAAAGGCGACATCATCTGCAGCTCTTTCGGAGGAAACGTCAAGTTACACGCTTATCATGTGCCCAATTTAGGATCTCCATTAATCAGCATGGGATGTCTTTTGAATGACGGTTATCAATTATTTCATGACAAAGGAATCGTTATTTTAACTAAAGAAGGCTATGCTGGTTTTCGTGGTCAAATTAGAAATTGTGTGATAGAATTAGACATCATTTTAGGCGCGTCATTTGATTCTTTCACTTGTAACATAACAACATTAGCTGATTACAATATGCTACACAGAGGATCAGGACACACCAACACACAACGACTCCAATTAATGTATGGAATCAAACCTCCTGAAGAATGGTTCTGTGAAGATTGTGTTTTGTCTAACCCTTATCCCAGTTCTTTTCCTAAAGCCACTTTTCCACTTCCAGTTGTGCATAGCGATCTTAGTGGAAAGATCTCAACTGTTTCTGAAGGAGGAGGTTTATATTATTTCAAATTGACTGATGCCTTCATGAATTACAAGCATGTTTATATTTTAAAAGCAAAGTCCGAAACTTTCTCTTCTTTCATGAAATTTAAAGCTGAAGTTGAAACCTTTCATAACCAGAAACATGTGAGCTTGGTTAATGATCAAGGAGGAGAGTATATGTCAAAGGAGTTTCGTGAGATGCTGCAAGAAAATGGTGCTACATCTTATTTAAGTGCGCCTTACACCCCACAACAAAACCCTGTCTCTGAGCGTGGAAACAGAACGACCACTGAAAAGGCTTGTGCTCTTCTACGACATTGAAACCTGCCAAATTCCTTCTGGGCTGAAGCGGTCACGACTTCAGTATTCTTGGAGAATGTGACACCAATGGTCAAAATCGATAATCAAACACCGTATGAGCTATGGCACGGTAGGAAGTTTGATCTATCACGTTTGAAACCTTTTGGTTGTCAATCTTATGTCTTAATTTCCAAGAAGTTCAGAAAGAAGTTTGATGCGACGTCTGCGAAAGGAATTCTACTAGGATATCAACTTGGAATGAAAAACTACAGAGTAAGGCTTGAGTCTGGTGAAACTGTGTACTCTCACGATGTCGTATTCAATGTAAACTCTTTCCCTGGTGTCCGGGATTTAACTAATGTTGATGAGGACTTTACCGAATTGATAAGTGAAATATCGACATCTACTTCTACAACAACACCTTGTGTTTCGACAACACCAACTGTCTCACCACCTGACTCACCAGTACCGCAAGATTCTCCGCAAGTTCCTTCATCGCCCGTTCTTTCTTCACCTGATTTGGAGAATCAAGTGGTAAGGTTGGATGAAGTGAACACAGATACTCAAATTGCACCATTTGTCACTCCAATGCAGATAGAACCTGTTCCAGAGATACCGGATCCTCCGATTCCATTGCCAATTGTTCCGGCTAAACATTCCTGGGATTGGCAACCTGCAGATGTTTTGGCTATTCATGATATCACCAGTGCCATCAACGAATCCAATATCTTACCATCAGATTCAAAACGACACCGATCTCACTCTACCAAACGTCGTGTTTCTCGTCAAACTCAGAGAAAATGGGCGAAACTGGCACAACAAACATCGATGGAGGCTGCGAACGTCAACAAACGACTAGACAACATTTCTGAACTATTTGCTCAACAAGACAAACCGTCAAAGATCACAGCAAGAGTGGCGAAGGTAGATATGGATCCTAGGACGTACCATCAAGCATTGAAGTCTGATAATCAATTCGACTGGAAGAGAGCTATAGACAATGAATTGGCAAACATGGAAAGACGTCAAGTGTGGGAAGTTTGTGAGTTACCTGTTGGCAAGAATGCAATTGGCACGACATGGGTGTTTAAGAAGAAAATGGGAGGTGATGGTGAATTGATCAAGTTTAAAGCAAGGCTATGTGCGCAAGGTTTCTCTCAAGAATATGGAGAGGATTATAACAACACTTTTGCTCCGACAGGACGACTTGCTACTCTAAGAGCTTTAAATGCAATGGCTGCGGTGGATGATCTTGATGTATATCAGATGGATGCTGTAGCTGCGTTTTTGAATGGGTCACCTGAGGAAACTATTTACATGAATATTCCAAAAGGTCTAGTTATTGAAGGTGCGACATCAACATCAGTTTTGAAACTCAAACAGGCTCTGTATGGATTGAAGCAAGCGCCGAAAGTATGGTATGACTGCTTAAAATTATTTTTCAAATCAATTCCATTATTACCATCCACTTCCGATCCCAGTCTTTTCATCTCTCAAGATCCATCTTGGAAGTGTATTGTGCATGTTCATGTTGATGACATGACAATTGCTACTAATGATTTCGAGAAATTTCGTCACTTAATCACTGAAAGATTTCAAATGGATGAAGATGTCGACTATAAATACATTTTAAGAATGAAGGTGACTAGAGATTGTGTAAACAAAACAATCATTTTAACTCAAACTCAGTACATTCATAATTTGTTGGAGGAGTATGGTATGATGGAAAGCAAACCTGTGGGATGTACGATGGACGAGAGAGGAGGGTGGAGGACAAACCTCAAACCCCAAACCTCAAACCCGGTACAGCCTGTACAGACTGTCCATATACAGGCTGGCTGTACTTACAACTCTTCAATACACAACTTACCCTTGCCCACCCTCACCATAAAACCGATTTTGAGAACAGATCACTGAACCTTTGATTATTTGGACACAGCTCAAGTATTGGCTGGTCTATGGCATTCAAATGATTTGTTTCCATATTCATTTCAGAGGGGTCTTGTTCAGCCATAAGAATAATTTAGTGTGATCCATGCCCACACACGCTGGTAATTACATCCCTGATCACTGACCACCTCTTACAAGATTACCTTTGCTCCCTCTTTGACCACCAATGTTGCAAACTAAATTTCGGACTCGTTACCTATTCTAGAAACAAACTTTGTACTCGCAAACATAACCTTTTCATCATGAGATAGTTGGGAACACCAATTGATCAAACATGAAGAAAAAGATGCAAAATCTTGTGTGTAATGCTTGTGGTTGAATGGTATGTATTACGCTGATCAACTCGAAGTAGTAAGATAAGTCGTGGTTTTATAATTACAAATTCATCGATAACAAAAAGTGATTTGATAACAAAGATTAATCAATGACATACAGAAATAGAGCGACCATCAAACTATAGTATCTCATTCAAAACCAGCTGAAAAATGTCCTATGCGTACTGATTGAATGAAAACGACCCAGATTAAAGCCCCTGATTTTATTGGCTGAGACAGGCATCGCCATCGCGATATCTCAAAGTTTTCTTCTTCTGTTTTATTATGAAGTTAATGAAGAGTGACATGATCTATGTATTCAAGTTTTCTTTAGCCGATCCTGACAGATCCCGATCCTGATTCCTGAGCCCTAGCACAAAACCAAGTGAAAAAGTACTTTGAGCCCGAAAATCAGCAGTTAAGAAAGTCCAAAGCCTACCTTTAATTGATCGTTACCGTCCGGCGTTTCCGATGTTCTATAAATCGATTGCATTTGAGTGAAATGTGATTCCAAATGAACATCTTCTATATAGCGAGGTTGGGATTGTGAGCTGAGTTGAGTAAGAGAAGGTACATACGAGTGAAGTTGATCTATTGATGGATCTTGGGCTCTGTATTGAAAAAGCTGTACAGTCTGTACCGGGTTTGAGGTTTGGGGTTTGAGGTTTGTCCTCCACCCTCCTCTCTCGTCCATCGTAGGGATGTCCTATGGTGCCGAACACGTATTTGGTTCCTGGAACTGAGAAAGAGGTTAACGAGTTCAATGATTTAGATGAAAATTATCAACATGCGGTGGGTATGCTGATGTACTTAAACAACGCAACAAGACCTGATCTTTCTTTTGTCGTGTCACAATTATCTCAACATTTGAACAATCCCTCTATTCATCATTGGCAGGCTTTTAAGCGGGTATTAAGGTATTTAAGTGGAACGAGGAATTTAGGAATTATGTTAGGAGGTAAAACTTTAGGATTGAAGGCGTATGCGGATGCGGATTTTGCTGCGTGTCCATATACGAGGAGATCAACAGGTGGTTATGTTACGATGTTGGGGGATAGTACAGTAAACTGGAAAAGTAAGAAACAAGAAAATGTGGCAACGTCGACAACTGAAGCAGAGTATAGGGCGGCTTATGAAGGAGGACAGGATATTGTCTGGTTCAATCATTTATTAAACAACTTAGAAGTTATTCAAGAAGATACACCTATTTTAAATCTGGATAATCAAGGAGCTATTGCGCTTTCAAAGAATGAAAAATTTAAGTCAAGGACGAAGCACGTGGATGTCAAATATCATTGGCTAAGGGAAGTTGTAGCTGATAAACAGATGAAAGTAACTTATGTTCCGACAGATGATATGATTGCGGACATTTTTACGAAAGCTTTAGCGCCAATGAAGCATAGGAAGTTCTGTGATTTGATGGGTTTAACTGATGTATCAAAGATGGGGGGGAATTGAGATTGGTAATCTCAGCGCGTTCTTTTATCATGCGCATATGGTTTCTTTGATCACATCATGTTCTGGTTATGTAAGATTGTTAGTGACGTCATAATATTAAAGTTCTATAAGAGTCATTCAGAGATCACTATTGTAATTCTTTTTCTCTTATCGAACTTATATTATTTTTCTTTTAACAATCTTCTCTTACGGTCAGATTGTTCCTTCTCTCGATCAGTGTGCAGCTTGTTTACAAAGCTGACACCTTGAACAATCTCAAGTGTAAGTTGTTATGATGATTAGATTGTAAACTGGAAATCGAAATTAGATTATTTTTCTTTTAACAATCTTCTCTTACGTTCAGATTGTTCCTTCTCTCGATCAGTGTGCAGCTTGTTTACAAAGCTGACACCTTGAACAATCTCAGCATTAGTTCATCGTTCAATTGCCCCCCCTTGCGGTAGCAATGGAATCTTATGGGAAAATGCCTCCATTGCTAAACATCATCAGTACGTATCAGATTGAACAAACCTCATCAACAGGAGATCTTCCCAGGCGACACTTTGGAGGCCATCCGTTGGGAGCTTTTGGCGAATCAGACTTAAAGACGGGGCGCGATGGGACGAAGAGGTGATGACCAAATCTTAGGAGATTATGAGCTGGCAAGAGAGCTGAACAGGTGATTTGTAGAGTTGATAGTTTGTAATTTCAAGGAGTTTGTGCTGCAAGGTAGCAAGTTGTTGACGCAGATCATCAACTTTTCTGCGCGTAAACATGAAGTTTTGTCTGACTGAGATTCTGAGGGAGACACAAAAAGGCCATAGATGACAAATTGACCTCGCAAAGAATTTCGATGTCATCCACCTGGTGGTCGCGCCAGTCATCTCCTACTGACTCTACCCACTGCAGTATACAAAACTCGCCCACTGGATATTAAGATGAAGATGTTGAGATACTCATATCGGGCAGGCAGTCATCGGAATCATGTACGTACGGAGTCCATTGTAGGGAAATGACAAGACTGAGTAATGAATCCTCATGGCATATCCTCAGATTCATCTTTCTTACCAAGGGATGATGATATGTACTTACCTTTTCCAGAACTTACAATGGACAAGTAGCGGAAAATTCAACAAATTCCACATTGAAGAAGATGAACTAACTCTCTTGGTATGTTTCAAACTCGCAGCATGAGCAGACGGAACGGATCCAAGGTGATAAATGAAAATACCGCAAAATAAATTTCGACCGTATATCACAAAGCACAAATTCCAAACAAGTATCAAAAAGTTTTCAAAACACTATTGAGGAATATAATTTCTGATAAAGATAATAATGATAAGATTTTTAACCAAGAGGATCCCGGATTTCATCTTCAACCGCAGCAACCACTAGAACAGAGGACGTTGAATTGTTAAATTTAATAAGATGAAAAAGGTAAGAGTTATCCCAGCCGTGATATGATTCAAACACATGAAATGGACACTACCAAAAAACTAAAGGTATGAAAAGAAGTCCGTACGAGCAAAATCAATCCGACCGTGTATCAAGAATCCTAAACTAAAACTAATGGTAAAATCTAAAGTAATAATAATAAGATTAATAACCATACACATCCTGAAATACCCCTTCAACGATATCGGTGACTAGAAGAAGGGTAGTTGGAGGGAGGAGGGCGTCTTTGAGAAAAGGAAGCTTGATGATTTGTAGCATGATTTCCTAGCATATTTTCTTCTTCATCAGAATCTACATAAGCATTATAATCAATCGCACCCCTTCCATATCTTTGATTTCCAGAAGCCTCTTCCCGATATCTTGATTGAAGTGATGATTGAAGATTTCGAGTGGTGGTCTGAGGTTGTCTCCTGGAAGGAGTTTGATCAACGTGATGGTGATGAGTAGGACGGTAACCATTCTCAAATAAAACCGCATCGCGACGTCGAGGAGGAGGAGGAGGACCAGTTTCCAACAAGACTCCATCGCGTCTTCGGGATCGTCGACAGAAGGATTGATCAGACTCCATGGAAGTGGATTGAGAAGTGACAGGGACAGTGTAATAAGCGATATTCTGATGAGCAGTAGCGGAAGGAGAAGCATAGTAATCATCATAGAAAGCATTCTGACGAGGACGGTTAGCTTGAGATGGTTGTAATGGAGAACGAGATACCTCTAAATCTTCTTCGTTGTAAGCAAGACCACGGCAGGCGAAGGACTCCGCCGAGTTGGAAGAGCGAGGTTGATGCGAGCGCCATTGAGAAGGAGGGTGTTCGTAGAGACCGCGACAAGCGAAAGAAGAATCAGAGTCTCTAGAAGGGGAAGGACGATCACGACGGAAGAAATTGAAACGGAGGTGACTACTCATGGTGGTATAGACAGAAGGTTCAAGTGAAAAGGGATATGGAAAGGGGATAGGAAAGGGGATATGTGGAGATGGGATGGTCGAGTGTGATGGAAGAGTTGGTTGAAGTTGGAAAGAGGTGACTCTTGGGTTCAACGTTGAACCAAATTTCGTACAGAGACGACCAGATCAGCACTTCCTCAGTACAAAGAAGCTGATCAAGGGTACATTTTGATCGTATGTCTTAAAATGCGTATAAGCGTATACAAATGCTTCAAAAGAGACGTGTATAACAATCTTTAATGCCCAACATTATTCAGTAACATGCCGCGGGTAGTTTTTGTATTATTTAATTTGTACTGATTTCTCATAGTCCATTTGATAGAATACGCGACAAAAAGTAGACAAATGCCTCTGAGCTTTATGCTTTAGCTGATGGTTATATCTTGTCGATAGAGAAACATCTTCAGTAGAAAAATGCTCAGATGTTCTTAAAACATTATTCTGATTGTTTACAGACTTCTTTGTTGGATCACGCTCATCCGCTTCCCCAGGATTCTTCGTGAACACTGCTTCGCTAGGATACATCAAGAACTTTCATCCTCTTTCATCTCTCAGGAATTCATGTGACACCTTTTCAAGAAGACGTGTTTTTCTGTCCATATATCGCGGGGTTTGGAGACTATATGCTTCATCTCATCTTTTCGATGATGAAGTTCTTTCCCAGATATTATTCATTTGCTTGTCACTCTTATTTCCCCTCTATTATCATTTCTTGCCCGAGGAAGCCATGTTCTTGGGATACATACGAGTGGCGTGGGCTTTTTCTTCACACCACGTCACGTTAGTCCGTCACAATATGTTGTGATTACAGCACAAGTTGGTCAATGACATATGTGCAATATGTATCCCCGGTTCACAAACTATGGGATTCGTGAAGCGGATGGCGATTCACATTCGAATTGCGCTGGCGTGTGGTCTCTATACGAGCATTTACTCTCAAAGTCGGCATATCTCAATACGACTATCCCATTTTCGCGAGATATCCGAGCACTAAATTTGATCATCTCAATCTGTGTCAAAGTAGCCAGCTCAGTTCATTTCTTTCATAAGGGAGTACTTCCATAGACTGTCTGCAATAGCAATGCCAAATTCAACACCCTCAATGGTCGTGAAGCATATAAATCCCGAATGGGGGTCTTTGTCCGCCTTGCAATCATTCAAATTCCTTGTGTCTCAAGAAAGATTTCCCCAAATAGATGTGATTGCTGGAATGCGCGCGAGATCACTGATTTACACCTTCAATATATTAAAGGAGTGTATCATAGATTACAGTATTGATATTTTCACGATCTCAGGCTCACGACACTCAAGTCTTTCAAACAACATATCTCGACCTGGCACATTGTGATGATGCGCATCAATATGTTAGTTGAGTCTGTGACTTTGTCTTTTGTTATTTAACTCGAACATCTCTAATTTTACCCTCAGATACCTCTCATCAGATTGATATCATTTTCAACGGGGTTTCGCACAAAGTAGCCTCACGACAAACCTTTTCCACATGTACCAGGATTTTTGAACCTCGATGTGAATGTTGATGACTATTATTGCCTGAAAAATTCGTGCATATCTCGCAAACCAACGTACAATCTGATCTGTATTGATCTCAAGCCTTATGGCGTGTCATAGGCCACAATTGATGCACATCAAAAGGTCGTGAATCCGTAAATTTGGTTGTTTAGTGAGGATGAAGTTCGTATTGTCAACAACTTCGGGTTCATGATATTTCAGTTGATCATCTGATTCAACGCTTTGAGGATTTCTCTCTTTCGAATGTTTTATCGCAATGAAAATTAAATGCCCATTGACGGGTTCCTGATAAAAATTGATACAGATATATTCGTTTCTCGATCACCATCTGGAGCTCGAAACTGAGCATTGATCACTTTGACTGCTTGTAGAATTGATGCATATCTCGCAAAACGAGATACATTCCTATATTTGTTTGACTCTCCCGAACGTTTCGCATGCGATAGGATACAAGAGATACTATGTATGTATCTCTAAGTTTTTGGTCGTACATATTTGATCTTTGATCAATGTGAAGCCAAAGTAGTCGCTGTTGTTCAGTGGCGCATTGCGATATAGTGTACGGCAGCTTGTTTGGAATAAAAAAATGGAAGAAGCCAAAGCAACTGCAGTCATTCGAGATGGATTTGAAAAACATATGCAGGTGAAGGTCACGAGTTGAATTTGGAATTTTTTGAGGTTAAAGCCCCGATCAGACCGTGTCCGATGAGAAAAGTCCACCAAGGTTTTCAAAAATTTCAGAAAAGATCAACAACGGTCAACAACGGTCAACGAATCGACGGGGACAAAGAACGGACAAAGCTCAAGGAGTCAAGAAGTCAAGAAGCCAACAGACCGAAGCTTAGAGCTAGAAAGATATCTACGCTGAGGAATATCAAGGAAACGTACTCGAAGGCTTTAACTTCAGGGTCAGGACTCAAGAAGAAAAAGAAGACCAAGCATGAGTAGAGCAGCATCGATACCCAGGTTTTTATCAGCTCTGAACTCAAGAATCTTCGAAGCTCAACCAGATCAATATGAGAATCAAAGTCAAGTTCAAAGTCTGATCAGACCAATCTATGAACTGATTCAACAAAATCAACTTAAAGCAAGCTTGGATCAAATCAATCGATCGATCAAGAAACATCCAAAGTGTTACTTGCTGTATGCTATCAAAGCATTCGTATTGTTTTCTTTAAATCGTCACGATCAAGCTATTGCAATCTTCAATACATTTAATCAAAATCAACCTAATCCAAACTCGTCATCAAACGTACCAGTACCACACCCAGCCAAGTTGAGTTCACCCGAAAACCCACCATCCTGTGAATCAACCAATCAAGCATAGTCACTTGATATCCAACCTTTTGATCTGACCTTCATCGACCATTGAATACAGTTTCGATCCAACTTACGTTGAGTTCATCTCTTATACATTGCTGGGATTGGGATTTCATGATGAACTAGTTCAACTCTACGAAAAAGCTACCCAATCATTTGGGGTACAAACTCAATCAGTTGAGTATTTTCTTTATGTTTTTGAGACTGTCAACTGTTGATCACTTACCTGTTCTTTTCTACTATAGGTCTCAGTTGACGCTTATCTTACCTTGGCTCAAATCAATAGGCCAAAAGATCAACAACAGGTAAAAAAGTCACCAATTCCAGCCCCAAAACCGCCTTGAAAGAAGTAGCATTGATCGATATTATTTTTGTCTTTTGAAAGATTGCACTCAAACTACACAAAGCCTTCCCCAACGAGCCAAGGTTCATAGAATGGATCTTGATTCCATTGATCGTGCAACTTACCAACCCAATCTTGACAACGTCCAACAAAAGTCCCAACAACTCAATTTTAATCTCACTAGCTCATAGATTCATTCAAACTTATCTATCTACGTTTCAAAGCGCTTCAACTCAAATTGATGATCCTAGTCAATTATGGATCATCATCAAATTGTTATCCATAATCGGCAATGATTTGACTTCTAAACCAATTGGACTGAAACCTTTAGTCTTACCTCCAGCATTAGCAGCGGATACTTACTTGAAGCCTAACTTGCGGGATATCCCAGATCACATTCGATTTGTTAGAGAAGACTTCTTGAAGATCTTGGACTCTGAAGTTGGCAGCTCGCTAAGATCCAATCATTTGGGAATTGAGCTTTTTTGGAGGAATGAAGTTGTAAATTGGACGGATGATGAAGGGCTGGGCGAATTGATGTCTAGGATGAAAGAATGCTTGTCAAAAGGGTACGTATCTATTTCATCACATTTACAGACAGTCCAATCTGAAGATGTATGAAAATAATTCGAGTTGAAGGGTGAAAAGTTAATCTTTGCAGGGATACGAACTGGGATACCATGATGACCATCAATAAAGCCATTGCTGAACTTTGTAGAAGGTCTCAAGATTTACCCAAGGAAGAACTGATCAAACTCGAGGAGTTTTACAAAACGTTTACAATCCAGGACAACATTGATCGAGGATTCGTTTTAGCCAGAGTGGATCTACGAAAAAGAATCGAAGATCAACGGCCAAATTCATCCAACATTTTTACAGGTATACTCCATTTGTAACAGTTGCACAGAAGCTTTCTTTGTTGATGCCTATATTTCTACAGAAACCTCCACAAAAACAATCGTGGAATACGCCAATCGATTTGGCTCAAAGGCGTGCTGTTTTGATGATCTGAGGACATATATAGACTCATGTTCAGATGCAGATATCTTGGTTCAACTTCGTGAAACAATCGATACTAAACCAGCAAGTTACATCTCAGTTGCATCCACATGTCGATCTCAATTCACGAGACTTTTGTTCTGCACAGGCTGAGGAGACATTACTTCGAGAAATTAACTTCGAGAAGACCCGTCAGTTGATCAAGCCTAAAGACCTTGACTCTGATAGAACGGCAGTTAAGAAATTATTAAGCCAATATCACCAATATCTTAAAGATGGTAAGTCAGCAGTTAACTTTGTGCGGTGTACTTTCTATCCAAACTATGTCTTTTTTTAACTTATGACTTCTGATCGTGATAACAACAGAAAAAGACCTCCCGGAAAACTCAGTGCAAGCAGCTGATGAATTTATGGTCTCATCAATACTCATTTTGCTAGAGAACCGTTAGTTGTTTTTCCTTTTCTTATCTCAAAATTCACTAAATCTGATACCTATATAAATTTTTGAGTTCAGGTGACTTAGAGGCAATATATTTATCCGTTTACCTTCTTGAAATCGTTTTGAAAAATAGTCGACATCGATACCAAGCCCGCACCTTAATCATCCGTCTCTACAGACTCTTAGGTATGTGCATCTTTTCCATATCTCCTGAATGGATTATCTGATTGACTGACTGTATTTATAATAGGGTTAGGAAGCAGATCAATGAATCATTACGGATCATTGGGTCTGAAACATATCCAACTAGACACATGTGGATACCTAGCATTTGATCGAATCTCAATCCTCAATCACGACCGACAAAAAGCTCAAGAACTATTGGAATCCACTTCAACGTTTTACATCCGATCTAGAGACGAGGTATGGTTTTCTACCCATTCTCATTTGTGAAACCGACCACTTTTCTGAGATTTTTTTTTGGATTTGAAAGACAAGAAGATGGATAAAAGAGTCTTATATCGAAGCAAACTATTCAAAGATACATGAATTTGATCAATTTGTTCATAAACTTGAATATTCCCTACAATCGATGATAAACGAAATCGAATATCTTCGTCTTCGACTCATCAGCAAATCTCATCCTACCACTACACCTTCAATAGTGATGGAAGATGTAAGAAAGAAGTTGAAAGAATTATCAAAGCGTTGGAAGAGTGCTGTAGGTATGGATCCTCTCACTCTCGCTGTTTTTTGAATGATTATTAGGTGACTCATAACTTGCTTTGTATTGTTCTTTGGTTTGTGATTTTTGGGGAAAGTGTAGATAATCGAGATTTGTGTGTTCTTGGAGGAATTAATCATGAAAAAGTGGATAGACAGACTAGTTTAGGACCTCCACTTAACGTACTTGAAATTTCTTTCTTTCTTCCAATACCATTGATTGATTTATTGACACATCGATTACTTCTTCTTTCAGGTTGGTTGGGTTAGAGTGATGTGTTTGATTTATGGGATGGTGTTGATACCTGATTATAAAGAAGACATTGTGGAAGGAAAAGAATTAGAAGATCTATTGAAGGATGTGCGCAAGTTTTTGAAACTAACAGACCCCAGGCAGAAGGCTTATGTTGCTCTCTCTAAATCTTAGGTTTCTGATGCAGAAAGGAGACTTTGTCAATTTGCAACGATCATGTCTGCTTTAATCAGTTCTTCGAATAGTGGTGGTGGTGGTGCTCAGAAAGGCATGAGTTCAGATGACTTGATGAAAAAGTTGTCTATGTTCTTTAAAGGTAAGTCTTTTGTGATTTGAAGCATAGTTTGATTGATTTGTTAACATTCGGATTCATTATATAGAAAGCGTTGATAGTATCATCGAGGAAGACGCAAAGAATGTCAAGCTTCCAGGTGAATGGTTGGAAAGTGTGAAAGTCCTACATGAGGTGAGAAAGAATATGTATCGCTTATTCTGATTTGATGAAACAAAAGCTTTGTCTGATGTAGATCCGGTGCGTGTTTTTTTACACAATAGGCTTATTGTCTATTCCAACTCACGATGAAAGAAAATGCTAAACTAGTGAGTATCCAATAAAATTTATCTTCTCTTTTCTCCTCAATATTTTCGTAAAGGCTGATAATTGACGGGGGTTTTTCTTGATATGTTAGTCTAAATCTTTAAAGAACGTTCGAAATGAAATTATAGAAAGTTTCAAAAAATTAGAAACTTGGGTAAAGTTATACTCAATGGAAGATCGAATCAATGAACGTAAAATAAAAAATAAAAAGAGAACATTGAAATTGTTTGAAGAATACGGTGATATAAGTACAAGTACTGTGAGTAGTCTTCTCCTTTGATTTTTCTTGAGGAATGCTGACTTGAGTGAGTTTTTTTTTGTAACAGTTTGGTGATTGTAAAAAGTGGGAAGAGTTTATGGAAGAGATTGGAATGGAATGGGAAAGTGTTATGGGTGAAGTTTTGGTGTTAGTTAAAGGTATTGTTGAAGATTGATAAGCTTCGAAAACCCTTTTGAGGGGATTGTTCATGATGGTACGAAGAATGACTTAAGAAGGTGGAAAAAATATGAAAAATTCAAAACTAAACCAAGGGGTATCTTGAAATGAAACAATTAAAGCTATTATTGACCATTGCAATCCTTTATGAAATGAAGCAGGTTTCAAAACTATTATTGACCAGTGTTATGCTCTTTGAGATAAGTGAGAGATGTTTCAGTTTTTGGGGAAGTATGCTGTAAGGTAACCGTAAGTTATTCAACTATATGAGAACAGAAATTGGTCAGAAACAGGAAGGGAAAATTCCCTGAATTGATTTCAAAATCTAATAGATCCAAAATGAAGCACCAAATATCAATTGCTCTCTTTCGAATTGCAATATAATTATTATTCGAATCCACTCATGTGATTTGTCTCCATGATTACTGACAAAGCATCAATTAGATCTTTTCACTGAACAATCTTTTGCTGTTGGCCAGGCTTTGAAGAAGTATTGCCGGCGTTTCTTGTTTGATTGGCTATATTTCCTATACATACAAGTTACCAACAGCTACGTGTAACTGAGAAAAGAACATGACTCGGTTCTCCCTCTTCCACACCCTCAGTCTTGTGTACATATGCCATGTGATGCATAGTTATTTCCAGTCAGGCGATTTCCCTTTCTTGAATAGTTTGGGTGCTTGAGGCGATATAGGCTGGGAATCATGAGCGTCAGTCGCGATAATCCTTTACTCAGGGAACCATCAAATGCAATGAAGCTTTGCTCCGAGGTGTTCGTTCCTATGCTGAAGACTGACGTCGAGTGTCGGGGTCGAGAGCCTAACACTGGGTCAGCTGCGCTCCGCCGCGCTACAAGCTAGTCAACCGCGGGTGTAGCTGATTCTCATGAGGTCTTGTTGCGTCCCTACGTTCACGCAGCGGTTCAAGAACACGGAGAAAAACCAAACCTTCGTAGCTTTGCTCCAAAGAGCAACGCTACACGCGTCAACAGCTGCGTTTGCCGGGTATGGGAGGCACGTGTTACAGCTACAGCGCCAATCATTGTAGCATAAGTCCGACCAAAACATATAATTGAAAAGAATTAAAGATAATGTTGAAGGAGAGTGAAGAATGTGTAGATAGAACCATATTTAAAGAGAGTAAACAAACAAAAAGTATAAGAGTTGAAATGACATAAAAATAAAAAGAGACACAAGCAACTGTTATGAAAACCAAGGGAAACAAATTGACAAAGGATAGAAATCCATTTCATGGGAATTTGCATCACCTTGAATACCTGTGCAAGGTCTTTAAAACCTATACCAAGATCTATGCCTTCTCTTAACCACAACATGCTTGACACAAGCATCTCAATGGTCCAAGCTATCAAGCTACCTTGACTAGAGGCACAAATGTCTGAAGCGCAAGAAAAAATGTGTTCAGCAGTGCATGAAGAACCTGTCAACACTAGATAATCCTTGGCCATGCTCTCCAGTACCCAATAACCTTTTTTGTGTACTTAAGAAACAGATTAATGAGCAGCAATCAATCTATGACATCACCATTTCCAAAGTAAAATGATGAAGAAAGAACACACTTGCCACCATTCCAGACTTGATTTGGGATCTGGAACATTAGCGGTACACAAACAGCTTGACCTGACCTGAAAACCCATGCCAAGATCCCATGACAACACCCGCCCAAACCCCCAAAACAATTGGGTAGTTATGGGTTTTTCAGGTTGGGTCAAGATGTTTGTGTACCGCTATTGTAATCATCTACCTTCATTTTGTCACTTCCATGTAGGTAATCATTCAAATCCAAATCTTTGGACTCTCCAATCTGAAGTTCTTCTTCAGAGTTTCTGTCAAAGATATCTGGCTTAGGGGAAGAAGTTGCTGGAGTCTTTGAGGCCTTCATTTGTTGGGAAGACATTGCTTTGTCTTTAACACGTGCTGTAAGTTCATACTCCTGGCTTAGGCTTAATTTGTCACATTGTGTCAGAAGTTAGAGGTATGTCAGAGTTGGATCCAAACCACTTTGAAAAGAAATTGAGGCGGAAAAAGGGTGGAGAACCATGTGTTGGATTTATTTTTTGCTTCAAATGTCTTATTTTATTTTAATGTATTTTTTAGAACTGTATTTTGATCTTGTCCATTTTTGTCTTTCTTAATTGACTACATTACATCATATAGATCATGTAATGAAGAATGTTACATCATTGATCAAAACCAAGTTGCCATGAGACACTCTGCATGCTATGGGTCCCTGTGGTGCCAGGCGCTTGTGGGTGCTGTATCACCACTTACCACTGTGGAATCACGCTATAGACTGTGGATTCCTGAACTCCTATTTTAGCAGGGGGGAGGACTATAGCTATACATGGTGGCAAAAGTCACCTCTCAGCTACACTTTACAGCACATTTCCAAAATATGTCCAAATGTTCTGGGTTTTTATGCCAAAATGTGCCTGTTTTCACCAATTTTCACCAGTTTTGGTGCTATCTTATGGTATATACAGGTGCATGTACTTAACATCCCACATTTGGAATTTGATAGATTGACCAACAAAAAAATCCTAAAAGATTTAAACTGCCAATTGGATTAAACCACCAAGCCATCTTCTGATTGAGCTCCTCAAGATAGTCACAAAAATGGCTTCTTAACAAATTTCACCAAGGTATGAAACTCTAGTTAGAGTTTGAAGTTTGAATTTTTGTTTTCCTCACAGCCTCCAGTCAAGAAGTGACTTTTGCCAATATAGCAGACTTGCAACGCACAAACCGAACCGCCGGGAAATACGGGCGACGGTACGGTCTAGACACCGTAGGCTACGGTGCGATAGACTACGGTCCGACCGTACCGTAGTGTGGAAAACCCCGAGGAGTATGGGGGGGGGGTACCGTACCGCAGTCACAGTTTTCGAAGTGTACACCACCGTAGTTCGGAGTGGGACTACGTTCACTCCGGTATTACTCAGCCTCACCTTTATCAATTCCAAGATGGTAAGAAGCTGACACTTCTGTCAACATTCTTCCCAATCGAGATGGTATCATTTCGAACACGCAAGGGATGAAATTAAAGCAAGGGGTAGGATACCGCTGGTTTGTAATCATATCTTTTCTTTCTTCCATTTTTTCTCTCTTCCCATATTCTTTCATCGTTTCTATTTCTTCCTCTATCACATATTTTATCGACCTTTCCATTCTTTAATTGGCTGATTTGATGTCTTCCAATTTATCTGTCCCTAAGAGCTCTCAGACTCAACCCCCTCAATCTTCCCAGTCTCGTTCTCGCCGATCAACTCGTGCTAGCCCTCTTCGTCGCGATACCGGTTATGTTCCCACTTTGTCTGACTCGCGTAGGTCATTATATGTACCCAGTGATGCAGATAAAAACAACTCTTCCGGTGGCGACGAGGATCCAGAACTTGAAGAAGACGTAGTTTCAGAACATCATACCCCAACTCGAGCTCCTGCCCCTCAATCGAAGAAACGCCCAGCCCAATTGCATCCCGTCCAACCTTCCCAAGCCAAAAAGGCTCGAAAGACCACAGGCAAAGGTAAAGGTTGGGCCACGGTGACAGTAAGCAATTGCAAACTCATCGTTGTTCACCTCATCAATATGTTGTTTTTCCTTATTGATTAATCATCTGATTTTATCGGCTTCTTCTCAGGACTTTACAGTACCTAAAGGAATCGATGTCGATCAAGTAAGCCCCAAAGCCGCTCCTACGAAGGCCTTCAGAACCCAAAGCAAACGGGTCACGCACCTGTTGTCGTACTATAAACCAGAACCGATCCAACTCGCGGATGATGTAAGGGTTTTTCATACTGATCATTAGTTGGAAATAAAGAACTGACTTATTTTCTCAACAGCCAATAGGCGTGCTACATGGATACGAGTGCAAATACTGTCCCGAGACATTTGCACGTGGTTTAGACGGAAACAGCAACTTATACGGCCATCGAGACGGCAACAAGAACCGGGATCCTTGCAGAGGCCGCATCAATAGCCGCGTTCAAACCTGACCCGGTTTCAAAAAACCCAGTTGACCTGGTGGACTTTTTGGCTGGAAGCTGTCAAGAACTGTCAATGGATACACAAAGTTACCACCAGAAAACCAACTGGGTCACCGGGTTTTTGTGTCAACCGGGTTAGGTTTGAACGCGGCTAATGCAATGCAGGAGAAAGACCATGGTCTTCCTCCTACATACCAAGAACAAAACAAGAAAGCTGAAGAGACTGCAACCGAATCATCATCGGCTGCCTTGATGAAATCATTTGTCAACCGTCCCCCTTTCAACATTGACATTCTCAATGTCTTACTTGTCATATGGCTTTTGAGACATGCCCTTCCTTGGGTTCGATTTCAAGACCCAACCCTCCGGGCAGCCTTCCACCTTACCCATCCCAAGGCTGATATCAGGAGCCCAACGTGGGCAGCTACTACCGCGAAGGAGTTATATACTTCATTATATGATCAGCTGATCGTCAATATCAAGGTATGCTTTGTTTATTAAGTTTTCTATTTCATTCGTCTCCTTGCTAAATAGAACTTTGTTTGTTTCACTTCAGGATAACCAAGGTAAAATCTGTCTTGTCCACGACGGATGGACAACTAAAGGAAACCGACTAGCTTTCATCGGGGTCACTGCAACTTGGATCAATTCAAAGTGGAAGTATCGGTCGAGCCATCTTACTTTGAAATTGGCAACCTGGCACCACTGTGGTGCCCTGCTTGCCAGACCGGTTGGGAAGTTCCTGATTAAACATGGACTTCACAAGAAGGTCTGTTGTATTTCTTTCTTTCTTTCACCTTTTTCTAACTATCTCTGATCTATTATCTTTCTTATTTTCCCTCTCTGCTCTAGGTCTTGGCACAAACCACGGATTCAGGTTCCAACAACAAGACCATGGCCGACGAACTCGAGAAGATGTTCAAGAACGCCGAGGATTCAATTTATTGGGATTCAGCGTCGAACCACGTTTGATGTTACTGCCATAAGCTGGCGCTTGTGGTGAAGCATGGACTCAAGACGATTAATATCTCGGTGGGTCACGTGAAGCCTACCACTCAACCAGGAGCCACCATCCCATTACCCACCATCATCCTCAACACTGGTGACGACGATGTCAACGTACCCTCATCTTCTGATGAGGATGCTGCGGGTTTGGTACCCACAGCTCCTGAATGTGAAGAAGATGATTCAGTAGCTGAGGAACCAGAAGCCACGACCGAACTGGTTAAACGGGCTTTATTAAAGGTCAGTTTCCTACGCAGCCAACTGTCTCAACACTGAAGACTCGATTCAGCTGACTTTTACATCCTACGTTCCAGGTTGATAAGGTTGTATCGTTGATATGTTCAAGCTCATCAAAGCGACAATGGTTCAACACACGTGCAAAAGCACAAGGGCTGAAAAGTATCATTCATGGATGGGGTGTCCAGTGGAATGCAAAGGCCGATAGCTGAAGGCGCGCAGCGGCTGGACATGAGGTTAGTATTTTCCCTCTTCGACTTTTTTCTTCAATATCTCTCTTATGCTTTTCTTCTGCCTTTACAGATCATAAACGGCATGCTGCACACGGATTCAAAAACGAATTGCTTTTTCCGGGGATTGACCATCTCAGAAGAAGAGTGGAATGCAGTCCGCGAGGTAAACAAAGTCCTTGAGGTCGGTTTTTTTTATATCTGCGACAGTGACTGTGTATCATCTTGATTGATCTACACTTCAAATAGGTATTTGAGCGGGCCACCAAACGGATGGAAGGTGACTTTGCCTCAGGATGCAAAGTTCTTTCCGAATATCGCAAGGTTCAGAACGAATTGAAGGAACTCAAGAAGAACAGCACGTACCCCAGCCTCGACGTCATGATCACAAAAATGCTCAAGTACCTCGAACAATATACCAATGAAGCTGCTGGAACCGAGGTTGTCCAAATCGCAACCATTCTTAACCCTTGACATCGGTTGAATTATATCAAAAAATTCAACTCCGACGTCGAAGTTCAAGCTGAAACCTCATTAGATTACATTTTTTCTACTTATTCTGACCGCATGCCCAAACCGCGAGCGCCTTCAGTTGAAATCGTTGCGACAAACCCACCTGACGAGAGTGACAATGAAGAAGATAATTTATTTGCAGCTGGACCACCAACTGACACTCCTCAGGACTATCAACTCGAACTGAAGCGCTATCTGGAGGGAGCCCATCCAATTGGAAAAGGTACCAGTCCTCTTGACTGGTGGGCAGTAAGTACAGCTTTTACTTTTATCACTGCCATTTTATTTACTTTGTACTGATATCAGTGTGATCTAGGCAAACGAGCAGCACTTCCCAGTCTTGGCCACTATGGCCAGGGATTACCTCGCCCTCCCCGCGACTTCGTGCGCGGTGGAGCGCACGTTTTCTTCAGCTGCCGACATTGCCATCTCAAGCCGAGGTTTGATGAAGCCTTCAACCGTCTCACAGGCTGTCGCTTGCCGAGAATGGTTGAAGAATAAGGCGGTCCCTGATGGTAAATTTCAAGAAGCAGTCACTTACCTCTTGGATCATGAGTTGCGCGAAGGAAAAAAGAAGAACAAGGAGGTTTGATCATGTATTACGGTTTATGTTTGATTTTTTCTCATTGTTATGGTTTTTTTTTAATTACAATGTCTTTCTTTACTTCCATTAATAGTCTCTCCCTCAATATATTAATCAATTACAACTGTTTTGTTGAATATGTCCTTTTTCTATTTTACAATACAAATTTTTCTGTTTTTGCTTTTTTTGAGCGTAGCCGGCCGTTGACTACGGTCACTCCGGTGGCTGCGGTACGGTCCGCTATGGGCCGACCGTACCGTAGTGACGGGTTCGAGCTAGTAGTACTATTGACTACACTACGGTTACGGTGAGGTTTGGAAATCAAACCTCATCGTACCGTTGTCGAGGCCGTAGTGCACTTCACTACGGGCCGGTTTGTGCGTTGAGCAGAGGTCAGGACCTGCTATGTGGCCAGACCCATAGCACGGGCGAGTGTGTGCTGCACAATTGCTCAACTGCTGCTATCTTAGGCAGAGCACCTGTGGTGTTGATCAGAGGACTTACCAGTTTGCCAGGGGCTGATCTCCGTAGGCTCAACAGGTATGTTTCTACTAGACTACCTTTAGTAGGGGCATTCTGGGGTTCTGCTATGTGTGCATCTTCTTCCTAGCCTACCTTCCTGTGGGACTGTTTGCAAGGGTGCAACTATACTATACCGGTATAGGTATAGTTGGGTATAGTATTGTTTAAACCATACTATACTATACTGGGTATAGTATAGTTGAACTAGACTTTGACCAACTATACTCAGTACAGTATCCTTTCACCAACTATACCTGGAAAAGTGTTATACATGTTTCCATCAACTTATCCAACTATACTGCACAGTATAGTTTGGTATATCTGAGTATAGTTCATCTATACTATACTAAGTATAGTTCAAGTGCAGTATAGTTTGACTATACTATACCAAGTATAGTCAAGTATAGTATAGTATAGTATAGTATAGTATAGTATAGTATAGTTGCAGCCTTTCTGTTTGTATACACTCCTTGGCCCTACCCACATAGGCTCCAAGGAGGATGGGGGGGCTTTGGACCGTGCAACCTGCTGGGTTTTGCTTTCTGACTGTATCTGAGTCATCTGACCTGGCTAAAAAACAACATACAAATAGAAATGTACAAATATCCTAAAATCAAAAGATAACAAACTCCTTGCTCCAACTAAATGGGAAATTTTCTGAGATAAGACTAGTCCTCATCTTTTTAACCTTTTCAGAATGTGTTCCATGCAATTAAGCCATAATGCACTTTGAAGAACAAAAAAGCCAGCTTTGTGGTCTGCAGATCTCAAAGCTGAGTATGCTTGGGGTCTCCAGAGAGATGGGGTCTAAGCCCTCGGATGGTGGGTGGCTGCAAAATTTTTGAAGCACGAGATATGAGGAGAAGTATGAGATCTGGGAGGTGAGATGAGCAGTAGCCTTGAGGGAGGATTTTCACACTCCTGTGTCCTTTTCTGAACCAGTCTTGCCTAAGCCTTATGTTTTAGGCCTTAGGCCACTGTATTCCTCTCTCAGCTCTCACACTGGGGGTGCAGAAACAAAAACACGCCTTGCGCCTAGCCAAATTGGGTATGGGTATCCAAACCTAACAAACATGGCGAGGGGGGCTCTGTTAGGTTTGATTCTACCATCAGATATGCCCCCAGGTTCAAGGATCATTCTGAATTCATGTGTATATGGATCCATATTCAACAGCCAGGTCATCTTTTTATCCAGTCAACAATATGCCAAACGTTCAGAAGACACACAGTGCACCTGTGATTGGTGCACCTGGAGCTTGGAACCCCAAAGATGTCAATTTTGACTAGTTGTATCTCTTCCATCATCTTACTTTTTTGTCTATTAAAGCATTTCAAGATCTGAATTTTTCAAAAGACAAGCCTTTCTCGAGTTTGGCTCAATTTTTGCTCTAAAAAATCGCGCCTGGCGCGGTTTTGATCCGAGAGAAGGCGCGTAGGCGCGCCTTCTAAAAAAAGGCCGCGCCCCCAGTGTGACTCCGCTCCATGGAAGATACCTTGCACGTCGTGCCTTTAGTGTAAGGTTTACATGAATTTATGATCGATGAAAGGATTTATTTTGAATCTGACCATGAAGTTTAAGTGAGAGTGAGGACGAAAATTTTAAATGATTGAGGGAAGAAAGTTGGTAGGGAGATGCCAAGCTCTATAAAATCAAATCATTTCGAGAAAAGGCTCCGTCGGGGCCCGACCCGATGGTATTTAAACCGATCGTTATTCGAGGTTACACCACCCCACCCTACCCCACCCCTCCATCGAACTTCACATTCAACTCGAAACAAATTCAGAAAAACAAGACAAGACATTACCACTCAGACATATTAACAATCAACTCAAACAAAATGGCATCAGAAGAAGTTAATCCAACAAGTTTAACACCATCAGCACCAACTGAAGTAACTCCTACTCCTACCGTCACCTCTCAAACAGAATCAAACACAAATACAACACCAACGGCCACAACAGCGGCAGCAATAAGTGGCACACCCACAACAGCGGAAGTAGCACCAGAATCAGCAGCATCAGATAATCAACAAGGTCCAACTAGTGCTACGTCTGAGTTGAGTGATTTCAACAAGATAATCTCTTTGTCGGATCACTAATTCAATCATTTTATATCACGCAAATAGTGGTTTTGCTCATGCAGCTTTGAAGAAATTCAAATTAGTCTTTCTTGGCGAGCAGTCAGGTCTGTCGAATCTTCTCATTGTATTCAAAAAGACGAATTCAATTGATTGATTGATTATCTTATAGTGGGTAAGACTTCATTGATCACTAGATTCATGTATGATACATTCGATAACACCTATCAAGCTACGATCGGGATCGATTTTTTGAGTAAAACTATGTACCTCGAAGATCGAACTGTTCGACTTCAACTTTGGGATACTGCTGGTCAAGAAAGGTGAACAAATCACGCACGATCGATCAATTCCGAAATTTCACACTTAGCTTTTCGTATGTTTTTGCGTAGGTTTCGGTCTTTGATTCCATCTTACATACGTGATTCATCTGTTGCTGTCGTGGTTTATGATGTTGCTAGTAAGTATCAAATCTCTAAATTGTTCTTTGATCGTCGATCAAGGTTTAATCATCGTAATTTTTCAGATCGAACATCTTTCATGAACACATCTAAATGGGTCGATGATGTAAGAGCCGAGCGAGGAAACGACGTGATCATAGTACTAGTAGGAAACAAGACAGATTTAGGAGACAAACGGTTTGTAGCCCATTTTCTCATCTCCTCTTCAAATAATCAAACTTCTTACAGTCTACGCGTTTGATTTCTCGACAAATAGACAAGTCTCAAGCGATGAAGCTGAGAAGAAATCAAAAGAGTTAAACGTGATGTTTATTGAAACAAGTGCTAAAGCTGGACACAATGTTAAGACTTTATTTAAAAAGATTGCTCAAGCTCTTCCTGGGATGGATACTGCATCTGATGGTCGATCAACAAACCAAAGTAATTCAATTTTTTCACTTTGATCAATCTTTTATCAATTTATCTGACTAATTCCTGGGTTTCTTTCAACACAGTGATTGATGTATCTATTGCACCTGCTATTGAAGGAGATGAAGGAGGATGTGGATGTTGATGAGATGAAATCCAAAACAAAGTATACCAAAAATCAAAATGATTTTCTGACAAGCTTTTTTCTTCTTAATACTCACATTGAAACTATTCCTCATTGAAGAAATCGTTTCATGTGATTTTGTGAACCATGTTGTTTTACATTATAGAAAACCTTCTTCATATCTTTGAGAAGTGACTTTTTTTCCTCTTCTGGTTCATTTACACGTTTCTCATTTTTATCTTTTATATTATTATTTTTCATTGAAAGATGATTCATTTGTTTTGGCATCTTTATACAATTGCCTTTCATAGGGGGTCTTAAGGGTGATTTTTGTTTTACATCTTGACTTTTATTTTACAAATCATCTTTTTGTGGTTTCTGACTGTTGTGATTTTGTGTATATAGATATTTGTTGAAATATTTTTGAACTCTCTTTTTTTCACTTTTGAACTGATTTAATTTTTCTTACATGGAAATTGACTCATTCTTTATCATTCTGGCACATACAAACTGTCTGTTGAGGAAACAATAGATACACAGAGTACATTTATATCTAAAATTAAGTTGTTGCAAGCCTTCCAAGCGATCATTAAGATTGCAGAGAGGTGGCTCATTTGAGAAATGAGGATTTTACAGGCAAACACTCACTTAACTGTCGATATCATCGGGTCGGTCTGATCGGTCCTTCTGGTTCGAAAATAAATAATCAGCCCGGGGCTTCATAACCATCTGATTCTGGAAGCCGAAGAAATCGAATCGTTTCCTTTCAAGTTCTACTCTGCCTCCTTTCTAAGCTTGGTGCACCATTCATATCATCTATCAGAACGACCCACTCCGTGGCAAGATTATCCGATTCGGCTTGCCATGTGATTAAAGATCAAAGATGCGCAACCGATCAATCTGTAGATACAACTATTGCTTGTTTCCTACCAGATGCAAAGGAAGACGGATCATAAATGCACGATGTTTTGCAGCTGTTTAGATAGATGTGGCATCAGAAAACAAAGGTCGTTTACCTATTTTAAGACGAAGTGCGAAAATTCCAATGAACGGTTGAAGTTGAACCACATAAGATCGGATTCGAAACATCCTCTTTATGGAGCGAAAAAGTCGGACCCTTGGTTTACCAAAGACATAGTCTTCATGCAACAACATATGTTTGCAAGGGATCGCGCAGAACATGAAGGATGGCCATTTGATCGACATGAAAAAAAGTGATTTGTTTGGTCAGGAGGTCGAAGTGACATTCACTTTCTGAGCTCTGAGATAAGCGCGTATTTTGGTCCAAATGTGATTTGATGATAGCTTGCTTAAGAACTCGCCAGGGACAAACATGATTCAGATCAGTAAAACAAAAGACCAAGATCGCAACAATGCTGAATGTCGATAAGAATTAAAAAGGCCATAAGCTCAACGTTGTAGATGAGAAGGCTTTGATGCTCAACAAAGAACATGGGTCATAGATCTGCGTCGTTTTGCGACCTCTCGATTCTTCGTATGCGTCGAGTGATCGCAGAGCAGAGGTGACTGAAATCGAGTTTTATTGAGAAGCGGTCTGAAAGCGAGAATCTTCTGATGAAGAATGTGGATCTCATGAATTATAGATCTGCCTACTTGAGAAAAACGAACAGTCGCAAACACAGGGTTGTGGAAGGGTCACGACCGTCACCTCGTTCAAGCAGCTGGGTGTGCTTTATGCCGAAGTGATATTGTGTTGATATACAGATGGTGGATGATTGCTGGGGTCTCTGAGGTGTGATGTCGGATGAAGTCCGATCTTTGAATATAGCAAGCAATGTCACTCAAAGGTGTTCCTCTCATCGCCATGAAAACATCAAGGCCAAGGCTAGCAGGTGCAGGTGCTTGTCTGGAACACACTTGAATTGAATGATCAGATGGTTGATACAAGTCCAAGATGAATTAAAGATTCATTTGCTTTACTTCTATTGCGCGCGATAAACTGAAGATTCATATGGCATACCGAAGTCGTTCAATAGATTTGAATATCGTTTGAGCCAGTCTACCTTCACACAGACAAGAGAAGTAAGATCACAGCACTAGTATACCTTGTAGAAGGACTGTTTTTGTGTCAGATGACCGGATAGAAACCGTGCGAAAGACTAAGAAGTACGCAAGATACCTTTGCTTCGCATCTTTCCGAGGCGGCCGAATCAGACAGGGATATATGAATTTTCAACAAGGCTACTTTGAAGTAGACCGAAACGAGATAAAGTTGATGCGTTTGACGCTCCGTAAAAATATCTGGAGAAAATCCTCACGAAGGCGAACAATACCGTGCCAAATCTTCATCACATGAATATCTTTGAGATAAAGATATAATGATGCTTTCCAGAAAGTTGAGATGAAAGACGAAAGTGTTTAGGCCTCAACAAAGATCATAACAAGATGCGTCTGCTTGGGTACCACATAAAGATTAAGACCGAATCACTGGGAGACTTTACAACGTCAGCGTGTCGCCTCGTATCCTCGGAAAATTCAACAGACTGATGAAGGTGATGAAACAAACCCGTGGTAAAAAAAAGTCAACAAGATCCGAGTTTACACTGCAGATATGGTTTTCTAGCGCAACCCGGCGAACAGCAGAGGAATAATGTTTAGAAGTGTCTGAAGTGTCTGTCTACTTTTGGCCGCGTATTGATCAAACCAGGATAAAAAATACAGTATGAAGGAAAAAAGGAAAGTATCCGCGGCATCTTGCCAGAAGAAATGCTAAACAGAAAAGTTTGAACTTTCCTTCTGGTGTATTGTATTTGGGCATGCCTTCTGGCTAATGCTATCAAATATTATCCCTCGTCAGAAATATTTCTTTGAGAAGCGGATCATCTCGCTTAACTGTAAAAGCCCATGTCACTCGTATATATGCCAATGACGTGGCCTCCTCGGGCAAGAAATAATCATATAGGAAAACAAAAGTGACAAGCAAATAACTAACATCGGGAAAAGAACATCATCACGATTATCGTAAGAAGATATGAAGCGTATAGTCTTCAGACCCCGCTATATCTGGATAGAAAAACGCGTCTTCTTGGCAAGGTGTCACATGAATTACTGAGAGATGAAAGAGGATGAAAGTTCTTGATGTATCCTAGCGAAGCAGTGTTCGCGAAGAATCCTGGAGAAGCGGATGAGCGTGATCCAACAAAGAAGTCTGTAAACAATCAATATGATGTCTTAAGAACATCTGAGCATTTCTCTACTGAAGATGTTTCTCTATCGACGAGATATAACCATCAGCTAAAGCATAAAGCTCAGAGGCATTTGTTTACTTTTTGTCGCGTATTCGATCAAATAGAATTTGAGGAATCAGTACAAAGTAAATATTACAAAACTGCCCGCGGCATGTTACTGAATAATGTTGAGCATTAAAGATTGTTATACACTTCTCTTTTAAAGCAGCTGTATACGCTTATACGCATTTTAAGACATACGATCAAAATGTACCCTTGATCAGCTTCTTTGTACTGAGGAAGTGCTGATCTGGTCCTCTCTGTACAAAATTTGGTTCAACCTTGAAACCAAGAATCACCTCTTTCCAACCTCAACCAACTCTCCCGTCACACTCGACTAACCCATTTCCACATATCCCCTTTCCTATCCCCTTTCCATATCCCTTTTCACTTGAACCTTCTGTCTATACCACCATGAGTAGTCACCACCGTTTCAATTTCTTCCGTCGTGATCGTCCTTCCCCCTCTAGAGACTCTGATTCTTCTTTCGCTTGTCGCGGTCTGTACGAACACCCTCCTTCTCAATGGCGCTCGCATCAACCTCGCTCTTCTAACTCGGCGGAGTCCTTCGCCTGCCGTGGTCTTGCATACAACGAAGAAGATTTAGAGGTATCTCGTTCTCCATTACAACCATCTCAAGCTAACCGTCCTCGTCAGAATGCTTTCTATGATGATTACTATGCTTCTCCTTCCGCTACTGCTCATCAGAATATTGCTTATTATACTGTACCTGTCACTTCTCAATCCACTTCCATGGAGTCTGATCAATCCTTCTGTCGACGATCCCGAAGACGCGATGGAGTCTTGTTGGAAACTGGTCCTCCTCCTCCTCGACGTCGTGATGCGGTTTTATTTGAGAATGGTCACCGTCCTACTCATCATCATCACGTTGATCAAACTCCTTCAAGAAGACAACCTCAGACCACCACTCGAAATCTTCAATCGTCACTTCAATCAAGATATCGGGAAGAGGCTTCTGGAAATCAAAGATATGGAAGGGGTGCGATTGATTACAATGCTTATGTAGATTCTGATGAAGAGGAAAATATGCTAGGAAATCATGCTTCAAATCATCAAGCTTCCTTTTCTCAAAGACGCCCTCCTCCCTCCAACTACCCTTCTTCTAGTCACCGATATCGTTGAAGGAGTATTTCAGGATGTGTATGGTTATTAATCATATCATTATTACTTTAGATTTTACTGTTAGTTTTAGTTTAGGATTCTTGATACACGGTTAGATTGGTTTTGTTCGTACGGGCTTCTTTTCATAACTTTAGTCTTTTTAGTACTGTTCATTTCATGTGTTTGAATCATATCACGGCTTGGATAACGGTTACCTTCTCCATCTTATTGAATCTAACAATTCAACCTCATTTGTTCTAGTGATTACTACGGTCGAAGGTTAAATTTGGGATCCTCCTGGTTAACAATCTTATAATTATCATTATTATTATCTTTATCAGAAATTATATTCCTCCATAGTGTTTTGAAAGGTTTGTGATACTTCTTTGGAATTTGTGCTTTGTGATATACAGTTAAAATTGATTTTGCGGATTCTTTTGTTCATAACGTTACCTTCCTTTCAAGTGCCGATGTTGTGAGTTTCAGACAGACCAAGAAAATAAGTTCATCTCCTTTCATTTGAACATTGTTAAGCCTTCCG